AAAAAAAAAAAAAAAAAAAAAAAAAAAAAAAAACCAGTTCTCATCGCACTGAAGGAGAACCTGTTTCATGCCCCTCCCCCCCCTCGCCCCCCCTCTCATCAGATCCCGTTAGACTTCTCCCCGCCGGGGGACATAAAGCCAGCGGTTGCGAATCACGTCCGGCGCAATAAAAGAAATCCAGGATACGCAATCGACGTGCGCAGACGCGTCTCCCGCGCGGCTCGCCCCGAAATTCCGCTGCGAAAGCATCGACGACTTTTGCCCTACTCATATTAATATTTAAAAATGTTTCCGGGAAAATCGAATTCGATGAAAAGCCACGCAATAACAATTTAAAAATACTCGAGACTCCGTTTAAACCTATAGAATTCCCGGAATTCCCGGAATTCCCGGAATTCCCACCCAAAAGGCCGATCCTCGCGCGCACGACGTCCCGTCCACTCCGGGGAAAAAACCGCATGAATTGGAAACCGGGCTCGGAGCGCCTCGCAGCAGCCTCCTTTCATGCCGCATGGGGAATGAGGCAACCGGTACTGGCTGCCCTTATATGGGCGCGTCCTTCATCCCGTCGCTTTAGCATCTTCACGTGAGAGCCGTGAATAGAAGCGATCGTCTCGAAGCACGCAGGAATCGTCACGGGAATCGGCGCTGGAAGGGAAACCATAGATTCGAAATGGGGCGTGAGTTCCACAACGAGACATTGTCCCATTGTGATCGATGCGCGATCGATGAGTTTCGATCGCGCATCGAAAGGAACTCGAAGATCCCCCTGCCTTTCTCCGATAAGGATCGAATATTGAATGCGGCGAACTCGGCGATCGCGGATTCCCGCGACCGTTACCGCCGAGCGAACGAATCGAAAACGCGGCCGGCCTTCACAAACAAGTCTTTTTCCTTTCGCATGAGCTCCCCGGACAAAGACCTCCTATTGTCTGAAATAGAGAAAGGCAGGATTACGTTAATACGGCCATTGAAACCCCAAGGATGCAATAAATTCCTCTCAGCCCTTCGATGCGCAACCCCCCCCCAGCCCCCACCAACCGACCGGGCACATCGCCAAAGATCGACTCGATCGACTCAAACCGAACGACAGACCTTTCGAGGAAGAACCGGACGACCAACAGCGCGAAGGAAACGGGAACGGCATAGAGAAGATCCCGCGCCTCGGTCAAGGGAAGTTCGGGAGTGGATCTGACATCCTCCCACGTCAAATGCTCCGGCAGCCACACTCTTTCACTCCACACGAACCCGTTGAGCGCCTCCAGCACCTCCTCCACTCCGAGCACCATGTCTTCCCTCGGGACACGCACCGTCCCCGCACAGCCGCAGCACTCACATGGCTGGATGGGGACTCGGCCTCGAAAGCCATTCCCGGCTGCGAAGCAGCGATGTAGGTCACGTTTCCATCCCATTCATCTGCGTCGCCATTCAGAGCGCTTACTCCCTCCGACCAGCATTTCGCTGGCTGGGTTCAAGCGTTTTCTCTCTCTCTCTCCGCGTTGAAACGAGAAGCCGCTGTCGCGTGTCTAATAAGCCGAAACGACCGTAAGGCATTTATTTATGGTTGGGCTCTCGCAGTGGAACGTCCAGATTCCCATGTTGATAATACCGTTATGTTTAATAATCGTATTTATTAGTCCCGTAGATTCTGATATTTATTATGATTAAAAAAGGAGGCTTTGTTGAAACATTCACTTGAACGGGAGAGCGTCGAAAGCCTGACTGACCACGCTTTTGGTATTTCACATTAAAAAAGGCAATAGTTTGATTAATTGGAAATGAACTGAAGAAAATCTGTTTTAATGTGTTAGAAGCCTTCATAAATGAGCCATCTGTCTTAATAAAGAAACTCCATTTGAGGCAAAAAAAATTAGTTTGTCAACTTGAAAAGCCAGTCAGAGTAATTAGAGTCAAAAGTCGAGAGTAATTAGAACTCATGTAGGCGAGCATCCCAGTAAAAAGGCCGACCGCTACATACTCGATGGCATGAACAGCTTCCAACTGGGGAGAGGAGATTTATATGAGCGTCTGCGTATGCCCTTTTTTTCCTGGCAGTTTTGACATCGGCTCGCTGCAGGAACATAAGCCACCTGGATCCGATCCGATGTGCATCCCTTCGACCGGGGTCGGAGAGCCACGTTCCGAACAGAGCCGCCACTTCGCTCCGGCCTTCCGAGTCGGTTTCGAGAGGGAGGCTGCACTTAACGTCGACGCGAGCCGACATCAAGCGCCGCGTCTGGCATCGTCCTCGACTCTCTGCTTGCTCGTCCCCGAATTCGTCCCCGAATTCGTCCCCGAATTCGTCCCCTATGGCATTTTCCAATTGGCTTGGAATCGCTTCGGGGTAAAATTCTATTTAAAAATTAAAGCGTCCAGAATTTTCAGAATGAGAGGCTTTCTCACTACTCATAGCCTTGTCGTTGTTTTCAGTCCGTTCTTTAAACGGAATGTACATATACTTAAATATATATTTATTATATATATATACAATATATACTTAAATACGCTCAAGGATCAGTTGAATCTTTTGCAATTTTAGGGGGAAATGCCTCGAATTTCTGCATTTTCGCATCTCATACCCTCTCAAGCGAATAAATAAGGTCAATTTTCTCGTAGCGCATTTTATTCCCAGAAGAACTGAGTACATCTGAAAGCGGAAGCAACGGAACTCTAATTCCTACCGAGTACCACTTAATACAGTTCAGTCCAATATGCTCCAAGATATTGATCAAAATCACTGCTTAAATTGTTCTGAAATTTCTCGAAGGTAGAATTCCAAAACCCTTCCGTACTACAGATCAGAACGGTCAGAACCGTTTGAGGTCATGCGCCAGCCGGAAAGCGAACACTCTGGGGCCAAGAATCGATGGGGAATCCAAGCCATGGGAATTGGTAGAGAATCCAAGCTACGAATCGGCTGGGAATCCAAGCCATGGGAATTGGCAGAGAATCCAAGCTACGAATCGGCTGGGAATCCAAGCCATGGGAATCGGCTGGGAATCCAAGCCATGGGAATTGGCAGAGAATCCAAGCCATGGGAATTGGCAGAGAATCCAAGCAAGGGTATACCAAAGCATCCTGCGCCCTGAGAATCCTCTGAGGTCTTCGAATCACACTTTTCCCTCATGCCCATCTTATTGGAAAACGCCCTCTTGCCATCCTCCGCTGAAGGCGCCAATTCCGAACGAAAAACGAGACCAATTTCCTGAGAGCTGCAGCTGGATTTCCCTCTGGGCAATTCACATCGTTTCCTGCACAGTGCGGACTCGGTGGGAAATATGGAACGAGTTCCCAACCAAGATAATTTCCTCATGCTTTCCTTCCCTACGAGGCCGCGTTGATCGCGTAATGAATTGCTGGACTTAAATCACGCGACAATGAAAATTAAAAAAAAATATTTTCATGCAGCGGCGTGGTCTCATCCAATAATTCTCACGCGAATTTTTTTCTAATTTTTTTCGAGCCTCCTTCCACACCGAAGAACCCAATGAAGGAACGAGACCCGATTCGATGGCACGGGGATGGCACGGGGATGGCACGGGGATGGCACGGGGATGGCATTCCCCGCCGATGAGTCCTTCCACAATGCTCTCGTCGAGGATTTTGCGAGTCATTTGTGGCTTTCCTTTCTCTACGGTTTGGTCGATAACCAAATGTGTCGGTTGGTCTTCCCCGGTCTATTGGAATTTACCGCTGAAACAAAAAGTCGACTTGCGAAAAATAGAAACTGTGCTCATATTCAATTTTTTTTTTTTTAAATGGTGTTTTCGCAATCTCAAGGCAGAGATTTCGCTGAATTCCGTTCTGTGGCGACACGACCGGGTTTTCTTCTCGATCCGACCTTTATACCAAAATTATGATGTACCAATACCACCCATATATTTTTTTAATGGTTCTTGCATACCAAAAAGCACACGACATTCAACCACTGAATTTTTTTTCTTATTTTTTTCATGGCAATCCGGACAAAAATGAACGAGCATAAAACGTTGCAAAACGTCCGTTTATGGGTCTCCAAAACTTTTAGATACATAAAAAAAATATCACGTCCAAATATTACATTTTAGCGCCCAAAAGAAACGTGATAATCGAATTTCGTCGGATTTAAAGTCCAGATTTAAATGGACGAGATTCCACCCGCGCAGGCCTCCTCCGAGAAGAGACATCCCCGATCAGTCGACCTTCGGCAGTTATTCTCAAGGTCGACTGCTCGGGCCGGTTTTATTCGTGCTTCGTGCTTCGTGCCTTGGCTCAGATGCTTATCGGAGGTGGGATGGCATGAGCAATCAACTCGTTATTTACATGTAGGCATTAAATTACAATCCAATTTTTTTACTGATTATTTTATCGATTATTTATTAGGAATTTCGTCATCGATCGCGATTCCTTGAGTGCAGAGGAAGTCTTAAAACGATGAGACTTCCTCATCCTTTCCTTTGACTTCCTCATCCGACTGATAAAAAGCTCACGAATTCGTGATCAAATGTCTCAGCCAACTCAACTGCAATTTTTTTAAACGGAAGGGTTCTGAGCCGTCGCCCGGATAGCGAGAATTCGCGGAAGGAAGAATTTCGGAGTTCTTCGCGAAATAAGCACATTCGGTCGTCTCAGTCTTCCTTGTCTCCGTCGGCGTCCGAGGCGTCGCTCCGACGGTCTTCCAGCGGCTTCTGCAAAATCAACACGAAAAACCTCCACATCCCCATCCATCTCGTCTCTCAACGGCGACCGACCGACCTTCCGGACGACGGAGACGACGAGCGCCTGGAGGATGAGATAGGTCCATATGACATGGAGGCAGAGGAGGAAGTAGAGGAGCAGCAGGAGGACCCAGGTCGGGATGTTCCCCCTCCAGCGCCCCGAATCACAAAACAGTTTCTCCCTCGTCGATCTACAGGGTGTTCCATAAATTAGCGATTCATTTTTTTTTATCCATCGTATATTTTTTCTTTTTTTTTCTTGCAAATTGCGGATTAGAAAGCGATGGGATAGAGCAAAGACGAGCACTTAAAAATAATTTTGTCAAGCATTCGCACAAACAAAAAAAAATGGTTATGCGATTATTCATCGGAAATCATTCAATTATTCATTCGGGCCCGTCTTTGACCCAATCGGCAATATCAAAGATGTTGTATCGATTCCGAGAAAGTCATTGATTCCAGCATTCTGGGATGTCCTGTAGACAGAGTTATTCAGTTTTGGCCAGGTTCCCCGATTCATAATCTGTGCAGCGCACTGAAGCAGCTGTTTGGATAATGGCTGTTGTCCCAACCGGCTCTTGTCGCAACTTCATTAAGTCGCAGAGCACGAGTAATGAGCAAGCATTTTCCGATATGGAATGGAGGAGGGACATAATTTCTGGAAACATGACGATATCGCTGAATGGGTCCACCCAATACCGAGGAGAAAGTGATCAGACTCTCTCATGCGACAGATTCATTTCAAGAAATGCGAAGAAATGCGAAGAAATGCGAAGAAATGCGAAGAAATGCGAAGAAATGCGAAGAAATGCGAAGAAATGCGAAGAAATGCGAAGAAATGCGAAGGAATGCGAAGAAATGCGAAGAAATGCGAAGAAATGGCGTCGCACGTTATATCTGATCCGATGATATAGAACAACCGGAGGAATCGAAAAACACGAACGAGAAAGCGAGATCCGCATTCGCCCCGCAATTCCGGGAAGATCCGGGAGGCTTCCGACTCGCTGGACTCACATGAAGACGATCTGAACGGGGAAGTAGTAGACTCGGCTGTAGAGCCAGACCGCGGTGAAGAGGATGTAGACTCCGATGCATAGGCGGGTTTTGCCGAGGTAGTGGAAAAGCTTCGCCAGCTGAAAATCAGCGATGAATATCAAAATTCGTCGGTCGCTTGGAAAAAAATTTTTTTTATTTTTTAAATAATATTAATAATAAGTTTTAGGCGCGAATTTCAGCTGTTCGTGAGAGAATCAGCCAAAAATATCTGCTTATTTGAGTAATCGCAGTCAATGTTAAGCTGTTTCAAGGGAGAATGTTGTCAAGCACTTTTCCTCCTGAAATAAAAATTTCTGACGGTGAAAATACGTTTAAGAAAAAAAAGTTCCAATAGAGGGGAAACCGCAATTGTTTGCAAACCTAAGACAAGATTTTAAAATAAAAACAATAAAATGAAAAAAAAACTTAAAACATTATACATTAAAAGATAAAATCAACATAAAAAAGAGAGCAAAAAAAAAACGATCGAAGAATCAAAATTTATAATTTCAGCAAATTAGCAGCAAGTTCATAGCGTCCTTCAAGTTAAATATTCAAATTTGGAAAATTTTGAATATTAAATGTTGAATGAAATAACCATGAGAATGGGATCGGCGGCGTCATGAACGAGCAAGATGAGGGACCCGAGCCGGGTGATATTGAGGGTCCAGGATCCGGCGAGGAGGACGACCACGACGAAGTGGTGGAGGACGTGCATCCAGAAGTCCTTCCGCCTCACGTCCAGCCGCACGGCGAGGATCATGGAGCAGTAGAACCCGAGTTCCAGCATGTAGTACCACCAGATCCTCCCCGTCAGGATCTGCATGGACGATGAGACGAGCCTCCTTTCCATTAACGAAGTCAGTGGTAGAGGCGGCGACGGGTCGCGAGTGGACGAATTCTTCCCGCGGTTACCGTTCCGCCTGCCCGCCAATGCACCGCGGTTTCTCTCGGCCCGCGACGTCCTCTATCCATTCAAATTGCGGCTGTGCCCTCCAGTTATTTTTCTTACCGCGGTGGGAAAAACTCGGCAGTCTTTCACATTATCTCGGATATGAATAAGGGGCGGTTCTCGCTCGGCTCCTATTGTCTCCGATTCGCACAGAATCGCGAGAATTCTCCAACGCTTTATTTATTTATATTAATGTTTTATTTATTTACATTTCTTTGTATTTCTTCGCTCGGATTGCTTTGCATCACGACGCCTGCCACTGCATGCTCGCCGAATTTCCCCATCTGATGTGTGCCCATGCCCCTTGCATGTTCGGAGGATTCGATTTTTTTACGGAGCTCCCCGTGCTTCCAAAATCCCAAACAAGACAGAAGAATCCTCCTATTCTCAAAGCCCTTAAGACGTGCAGGAAGGGCCCATTTTTAATCGTCACCCTCGAAATCTTAAAAAATTTCACATTTCCCCCAAAATTCTCCCAAATTCACCCCCAAAATTCTCCCAAATTCCCCCTCAAAATTCCCCCAAATTCCCCCCAAAATTCCCTCAAAAACTCACATGAAAGGGCAGATCCTGCCAACAGAGCCGGGTCTGCCCCATCCACGGCTCGCCCCACGTGGCCCACACCCCATAGCCGAGCACCAGGGCGTGCATCACGAAGCGGACCCTGGAAGTCACGATTCACTCACATCCACCGCCAAGCAAAAGCCAGGGGACAGACCGTCTGTCTCATTACCCGGTTTCGGCGAACCTCCTCTTCTTGGAGCTCGGGCGCGCTGGAAGAGACTGGCCGCAAAAAAAAAAATTAAATTCATTTCCGATTTTTTTTTTAATTCTTAACTACTTAAAAAAAAAATTAATTTATAAATTTTGAATTTACCTCGAAATTTCGATTTTTCAAATTTGATCAATTGGAATTAATACCATATGTACCGTTGACAGGATATTTATTGAATAAACACGATAAATCAATCTGAATCAATCAATTTATTGATTTCCTCCAGATTGAGGCAATTACTCATAGATGAGAGGCCTCCCGCCTACAAGCCCTCAAACCGATCACTCAAACATTCACATTTGAATACCTGGGAGGGACGCCTCGAGCCAGCGGGCTCCTCTTTCCCCGACCATCTCCACATCGGCGAGAACACGTGTCTGCAAAAAGGCAAATGGCAACGTGTTTAGAACCGGGTGTGAAAAAAAGGGCGACGGCCTGCTTGTCACCACCGCCACATGTGACGGCGACAAGTGACAAGAAAGTTTCCCCCTCTCCTTCTCAGGTCGGCTTCGAAGTCGAAAAGTAAAGAAGTCAACCCGATCGTTGAGAAAAGGTTGATTTTTCGACTTAATATGTTTGCGCCAACGTTGAAATAAAACAGTTCAACGTTGTGTCAATGCTGAATTGTCAGCATTATAATAATATTATAATATAGTACCTCGAGGAGCACCCAAATGGCACGAAATGAATTATTGAGTACAATCAACCCCTCATTTCCTGTACCGAATTAGAACAAATATCTAGTACTTGTTACAACAGAGGGAAACAAACTCGCGAGCATGTTTTCATGCTCCAACTTACACTTAAAAGCGATTGGAAGTCCCACGTGGAGATTTAAAAAATTGAGCTTGTCTACTCGGACAAAACTGCCGGAAGTTCCAAGAGTCTCCTTCTGCTTGATCAGCTCTTTAAACCGGTCTGTCTGGAAATTCCTATACCTTCCCTTATGTTGTAAATGGGGAAAGATCGGGTACTGTTTGAAAAATGCAGGGTACCGTTTCTTTCGGGGCATCAGGGTAAGAATCGCCGCATCGGCAGTTAGGCGCCATCTCGTGTCGATTCGTAGAACCTATTTTCTGTCGATATGATGTGGATGACTCTACGTAGAAACAACGAGAATACGATGGAAAGCGAATTTGCTCTTAACCGCCTCTGGACGACTTCGCTAATCCACGAGTGGATTAGGGGATTAGGGGATTAGGGATCAATTAGTGCTGTAAACACGGTTAATTACGAAATTACATTTCATCGATGTTGATTTTCCAATTTTGATTTTCGAATTCTCAACTTCGACCGAGTCTCCACGTTTCGACAGCAACGTTGGGTACTTTTCCTACTAAGGTAAAAGATTTCGGGGCTGAAGATGGATTGAGACTTCGAAACAACTGTAGATTTAATCGAAAAAATCGAAATGAAGACTGTCAGAAATGCTACAAGTACATGGTACGTGGTACTTGGCACACGGTACATGGTGCATGGTACATGGAACTTAGCACATGGTACATAGTAAATGGAACTTGGCACACGGTGCATGGTGCATGGTACATGGTACATACAGGGTGTTAAGAAAGTTGTGTCCCATCACAATATGCCTATAACCTCAGCAAAAATGTGAAAATCAGGAAAAATTTTATACGCAACAAAAAGGACAGTTAACTGATTTAGAATCACTTAATAGTTTTCA